GAGAGGAGAGTGGGGGTGGGGCAGGGCTCCAGCCTGCGGACTGGGCACCGGGTCTGTGTGCCCAGCACAGGGAGATGCCCCTCCAGTGCGGCTCTGCGCTGAAGGGAGACGAACACACTGGCTCAAGCCCTTCACGTCTCTGTTTATAAGCGAACCAACTGATGCGAAAAGTTAAAATGGCTGAGCCCTCAGTAACGTAAACATTTCTGCCCATTGTCTGGAATGAATTTGCCGGAAACAAAGGAAAAGGTGGTTTCTGTTTCCCCCACTGAGTTCTTTGACTCCCTTTGGGACCCTCCGCTCTGACAGGTTTAAGTCTTTATGGAGAGCACGTGTGAACAATAAACAGACAAGGGAGTTAATTAGAGAGGCAGTGAGGTAGGCACTTTTCCCAGAAACGCCCACCAGGTCAGGCTGTTGGGAAAGTTCCTGGGGGGCAGCCCCCCGCCCCCCGCCCTCTGGTGCGCTGGGGCCCTGGGACGCCGTGTCCACGGGTAGCTTCTGAATTCTTGACACCTAGAGAAAGTGAATGCAAAAGTCAGTTGCAAATAAATGTCATTATGTCCTTACCTGAACTTGCTGGACGACGGGACGCTGATGATCCAGAACACGCGGGAGACGGACCAGGGCGTGTACCAGTGCATGGCCAAGAACGCGGCCGGCGAGGCCAAGACGCAGGAGGTGACCCTCAGGTACTTTGGGTCTCCAGGTACGTGGATGGTCTTGCCCGTGGGGGTCCCTCCCAGGGTTGGCGTCCACCCCGGCCGGTGCCGCGGGAACGAGTCTCCTGCCTCTGGCCGAGGCCCCTGCCAGGGGCGCAGTCCCAGGGGAGTCATGACCTTTGCCCTGGCCCACGTGGTCCCTAGTCCAGGACGGACACTCAGTGGACAGCCGAGCTGGCAGTGCTGCGGGGCAGCGACCAGAGGGCGCTGGAGAGCTGTCCCCCCCCACCTCTGACCCTCCCAGTCGCCCTGGTCCTGAGGGGCAGCTGCCCTCTGTTCCCATTTGGCAGGGGGGTCTCCGTAGTGTTACGAGTTTGGTTATTGAAAAAGAAGCCCAAATCTGGGTTTTTATGTAAAATTCCCAGGTGGAAAGTGTTGGCACCGATTTACAAAGACGGTCTTATCAGCGAGGCGCAGCTGTGGCCTCGGTCGGTCCGAGTGCCCAGGTCGCAGCCCTGCTCTCCTCACGTTTAACCTGAGAACTTGGGTGGGAGGAGGACTGGCCTGGGAGGACGGTCCAGCGCCACCTGCTGAGAGGGCACCGCCGCTGGGTGCCCTGTGGTCTGCACGCGCCCCCCCCACCCGCCAGGCCGGACGGCTGCGTCCGTCACTGCCTCCGGGCGCTGGCTGGCCGCCAGCCTGGGCTCCCCCCTCAACCCCCCTAGGGTTTCCCTGGTGAGTGCATTTCCGGCCGCTGTCCGGGCCCTGCCAGTGGTCGCTGAGTGTTCTTTGTTAGATTCTCGGCTCTTTAAAACGGTCTGGTGTTTGCCACCTCCCAGCGGAGGGTCTCCTTTCCTGTGAATGGAAGGTCCTGGTATCGGATTTCAGCTCAAAGGGATGCCCTGCCTCGATCAAAGCCCTTGTCAGACCACTCCCACAAGTGACAAGTCGTAGGGCCCAGCGGGTGCCTGCTATGGGAACCTCTGGGGCTCCGGGCCCAGGGGAGCAGGGGCTGCAAGCGTGAGGAATGGGGAACCCCCAGAACTGTGAACAGCGGGAGGCAGCGCTGCAGGAACGCGTCACAGAGCAAAGGAGAGTAACAACATCAGCAGGGGGCTGGGTTAGGCAGCTGGCCGCCGAGATGGGCGAGTTTAACCACCTGTGACCGTGGTTCTCAACCTCGGCTGCTCATTAGAATCCCCTGGGAATCTTCTTAAAATCCTGATTTCTGGGCCCCGTCCTCCGGAAATGCTGTTTCTTTGTTACTCATGTTGTGGCCTCACCATAACAAAGAAACAGCATTTCCAGAGGATGAGGCCCAGAAATCAGGATTAAGAAGATTCCCAGGTGACTCTAATGTGCAGCCGAGGTTGAGAACCACTGGTCTATGAGGTTGTGTCTTCCCCGGGAACAGTAGCCTTATTTGGGGTGCGTCTCTGAGCCTGTCAGTCAGGCTCCCTAAAATACTCCTGGAGGGCCGCCCGGGACCCGGGGCGAGGCCCCGGCAGAAAATCGGCGTGAGGCAGCCGTCCACCTGGGCCCGGGCTGGCGAGCTGTCCTGCGGGCGGGAAGGGCCAGCTGCCTATTTTCCTTAAAGTCTGGGAACTACATTTTTACAGGATTGGAGAACCTAAGGGTTGTTAGGATCCGTGGTATTTCAGGATCCATAGTAATTGTGTGAGTTTCAGATTTCAGTGACCGTAACGCACGTTTTACTGGAACATCACCACTGATTCTTTCGCGAGTTGTCTGTGGCCGCTCTCTGCTGCGGGGCAGAGCTGAGCTGAGACAGCAAAGCCCCAGAGCCCAGAACACATGCTGCCTGGTCCTTCGCAGGCATGTTCCCAGGCTGTGCGGACAGCTCAGATGGTTTCTTGATTTCAGAGAGGAAGCGGGAGAGGGAGAGAGAGACATCAGTGATGAGAGAGAATCATCCATTGGCTGCCTCCTGCACGCCCCCCTCTCCCCCCTCCACTGGGGGTCGAGCCTGAAACCTGGGCATGTGTCCTGACTGGTTCACAGGTTGATGCTCAACCACTGAGCCACGCCGTCCGGGCTCAGTGACAATTTATAGGAGTAATTGCAGCCTGACTCCTAAGCCTCCGGGAGTCGCAGAGGCTGGAACACATCCATTTCGCCGGCCCCTTTCGGGAACGTGTAGGGTTTGCCCCCCAAGTCTGTTGCTATCACAGACTTGGGGGACAAAAGCCAAAACCGCTGAGCCAGGTGCGGGTTAAATGCAGAACTTTGGGAGCTTCTTTCAGAAGAGCCACTCGGCTTGTCCGTAAACATCCCCACCTCCGGTGTGAATGGTCAGCGGAGAAATGAGGACGCGAGTGGCCGCGACCTTTGTAAACAAGCGATGAGGTCATGTTGGGTCCGGGATCCTGGACGAGGGTGTCGGTCGGAAGAAATGACACAGCGATTGAATGAGACCTTTATGTACGTGTCGGTTTTTAAAAATATTTTTCTGTTGCTTTCAGAGGGGAGGGCGAGGCGGAGAGAGAGAAACATCAATGATGAGAGAGAATCGTTGATTGGCTGCCTCCTGCACGCCCCGCACTGGGGATCGAGCCCACAACCTAGGCCTATGCCCCGACTGGGAATGGTACTGTGACCTCCTGGTTCAATGCTCAGCCACTGAGCCACTGAGCCACAGCAGCCAGGGCCAGGGGTGATTACTTTTGGAGTATACAGGTGTTAAATTAAGAATGCTAGCCGAAACCGGTTTGGCTCAGTGGATAGAGCGTCGGCCTGCAGACTGAAGGGTCCCGGGATCGA